CTGAGTTCAAGCCCTAGTACCAGTACAAATCCACTTTCCCTAGGCTAAGACTTAAAAATTTGGGGGAAGCAGTTTAAATAGTACTGACTTTGAGAATTTGTGTTTGTACGTGGTTCTGTTGCTACATAGGAAAACCAAAGTTTGTTAACTCAAAATATAAGCAAAACTTATATTGTTTGTGATTACTAAAATAATAATAAATGTTGAAGGACTCAATTTACAATTAAACTATAGTGAATTACCATTAAGATAAGACTATAGAAAAAGTTTGCAATTTATTTTTCCTCTTTAATCAATACAAGCCTTTATTCTCAACAACTATAAAGTTCATGGCTTATAAAATAAGTTGTTTATCCTATACCAACTTGTTTCCCCAAACAGAGTAAGTTGGATTGACAAGTATCAGATAATTATGAGTATTATAATTTTAATTACCATTGTGATAAAAAATGGGATATATATTCTAGGTATTAATATTCTAGGTATTAATTGGTTTTGGAAAATTTTTGCACTGAAAGAAGACCAGAGAAAACAATTCAAAAATGATGTTAATAATGGTTTTCTATAGAGCTTGGTAAACAAAGTAGGAAAGAAAATGGAGACTTTGTAGTTTTCATTGATTTGTTAGAACTTATTTGTTCCTCACCCTAAATTGTAATGCTAAAGTTGCAATGTGTTTCTCATTGTATGGCTAGGGTTAGTTTTTGAGTACTGTGAGTCAGTGTCTTCAACTCTAGTTTTAAAGGAAAAAGGTTTGCCTCAAGTATATGCAAACATGTTTGCATATGTGAAAGTGCAGCACTAATTATAATACAGTGAAACCCCTCTGTTGTTCCAAGGGCTAAGGTAGCCCAGATGCCTGCTCCTGGGTCTTGCTTCTCAGAGAACAGAAACGTTAATATTCACAGTACCTCTGTCCAATTGTAGCTGTCTGAAGGGGCCCTATAGGAACTGGAGAGCAGTTCTGAATATTTTGTGATGAGATGGATATTCTGCTATAGCATAATAATCCCTTTTGTATGTTGTTTGCTTGGATTGTGTGTGTGTGTGTGTGTGTGTGTGCGCGTGTGCGCGTGTGTGTGTCCTGGGGATTGAACTCAAGGTCTAGACATTGTCTCTGAACTTTTTTGTTCAAAGCTAGTGCTCTACCACTTGAGTCACTGCTCTGCTTCTGTTGTTTTGGTAGTTATTCAGAGATAAGTCTTAATAGACTTTCCTGTCCAGGCTGGCTTTGATCCTTTGAACTGCCTCCTTAATAGCTAAGATTACAGGCATAAGCCATTGATGCTCATGTTCTTGGATTTTTAAAACAGGGAGTGAGTCTTCAGATTGCCTCTTTATTTCAGTTTCAGAGATGTTGGGGTCCCAGAGATTTTACTAATACATGAAGAGTATTGTACTTCATAAAGATTTCTTCTGGGGCTGGGAAGGTGGCTCCATGATAGAGCGCTTGCCTTGCCTGCATGAGGCCCTGGGTTCGATTCCTTAGCACCACATAAGCAAAAAGAAAAAAGCTGGAAGTGGCGCTGTGGCTCAAGTGGTAGAGTGCTAGCCTTGAGTTGAAGAGCTGAGGGACAGCGCCCCGCCCGGACCCCCCCCCCAAAAAAAAGATTTCTTCTTAGGCAGTAGAGGAGATTTAATGTCAACTCCCAACTACAGATAGAAACAACCCTCTTGAGTAAATTACAAGTTAAGTTTTTGTTTTGATCTTCATATATAGAAAGAGTAATTTATTTGAAACACCTTTTGTACTTTATTATAGATGCACTGAAAGCTTTTGAAGCGAGATCCATGCTAGCTTTTCCTTTGACTGACAATAATGTAATTTGGACCTGAAGAAATTAGTCAATACCTCTGTTTTCTAATCTGTAAAATAGGAACAAATACTTCACTGGATCTTATGGGAAGCCTGTATCCACACTCAAGAGAAATGGGATGAAAGCCCTGGCCAGGCCATGGGAAGTTACTGCCACTTTCTTAGGCTCTGGTTCTTCCCTTGTGAAATAAAAGCAACCCATACCTCACAGGCTCTATCAAGATGAAGGATGACATAGCATTACACATGGATAAAGTTTCCGTGATAGCTTGTGATAAAAGACAGAATGGTAGTGGCCATTTTGTGTTCCCAGGTTCCCTGGGTCTGGAGCCACAGAGGAGTTGAGAGTTGAGCTGGGTCTCTGAGTCTTGAGAAAACTGCAGTTGACCTCATGTTCAGAGGATCCAGATCCAATTTCCCCCAAAGAATATAGATTAGGCAGTACGGTATTCTTTCACTTGAGTGTGATTCTGATCCCTCTGGTATTTTAACAAGTCTCATGCCATAATAAATACAGTGATGAAGACTGTCTAATTTCAGGTCAAAGTCCTTAGTAGTACTATCTGTATGTCTGTCTATCTGAAACTTTGTAATAAACATTTAACACTCCCCCTCCATCCCATACCCAAGACCACAAAACAAATAGATGTTTTGTAGTTGCAGGCCTTCCCAGAGTAGCAGCATTCATAGTGACCATGAACGTCTGTGGTTTTGTCTAATAAAATCGACAGGCTAGCTTTTCTTTTGGTCCTCACATAAAATAGATATATCTATTTTTGTTGGAAATCAGATTTTCTTTGTCTAAATTGTTCAGGATGGTTCCTGTAACACAAAAATAGTCTACACTTTAACATTTAAAACACCTAAACTTAATGCGTCAGTTGTAAGAACTTTCCTGTTTGGATAGAAAAGACAGAAAACAATTTGGTGATGTGCCAGTCTCAACATTGGAGATCATGGTTCAGTGTCCTCAGCCTGTAGGAGGAATGCCCTATACCTCACACCCAGCTAGCTCGTGTATTCCCTTCTTCTGTGCATTTTACTACAATGTGATATTCCTTCCCTTGATTATTGCCAGAGTTTCCTTCTTCTTTCAGCTTGTTTCAGTCTCTGCTTCTCTGGATGAGGTTTTGACAGCATAGCAGAGTATGAGATTGGTGCAACATGCAGATCCCTATCCCCTCTCTGTGCCTTTGAGGAGGAAGGCAGGATGGCATTTGCCAGTGATGGTGCAAACACCCAAAGGCTGCTTCCTGGAGGTACTCTAACAAGGGAGAGGCTGAGTGACCAGTTGATTGGGTGAGGAGATGGCTCTGGCCCTGGGCCTGATGCTCTGCCTCCCAACCATGCATTTTCAGCATGCGTCCCTTCTTTAGCCCCTAAGGGAGCACTGTGACCTCTGCACACAGCACCATTGTGATGTGAAGTTTCTAGAATGTAAAGCCAGTTTCTATTCCATATTCTATTTCTATTTCTATTCTTTTTTGTTGTTGTTGTTGGTCGTGGGGCTTGAACTCTGGCCTAGGTGCTGTCCCTGCACTCTTCAGCTCAAGGTAAGCGCTCTACTGCTTAAGCCACAGAGCCACTTCCAGTTTTTGGTGCTTTATTGGAGATAAGAGTCTCACGGCTGGCTTTGAACCATGATCCTCAGATCTTAGCCTCCTGAGTAGCTAGGATTATAGGCGTGAGCCACCGGCGCCCAGCTATTTCTATTCTTTTTTTTATTTTAATTTTTATTTTTTGTGAACATACTGTACAGAGAGATTACAATTACATGGGCAAAATAATGAGTACATTTCTTATCAAGCATTGCAGCCTCCTCCTTTGTTTACCCTTCACATCCCTTCCCAGCCTCCCCCCCCACACCCAGTCCCCTCCACCCCACCCCCCCCGCACCAAAGTTGTAAAGTTCGTTTTCGACATGACAACTTGTACTTCTCATTAATTTTCTTGTCCTCATTAGTTGGTTCTAAAAAGTATTTGAGTGAATCCTTAATGGGAAAGTAGAGAAAAGATCATCTTGGGCCTGGAGTTAGTGGTGGTCCTGTCTGTGACTTAGAGTTAAGTCTATTTGGGGGGCGTATGTTCAATTTGTCTTTTGAAGTAAAGTGTGATCTAAAGAGGCTACCATTGGAGACTACCCTTCTAAGCACCAAGGCCCTATGGATAAAAAGAGAATCTGCTTCTCAGCCCTCAGAGTGTCATAGATCCATTACCACTGTCCTTGTGTGAACTTTGGGCTGTCCCATTACATAGCCAGTGTCCAAAACAATAGTTCTTATCTGTGATATGATGCCTGATGTTATGATCAGATACTTATTTCTGTTAGACTCAAAACTTGCATAAGGTAAGCAAAGAATTGGCTCAACACCTGCACTGGCTTATTCAGGAGGGGGTCTCCAGAGCAATGTTTGAGTCCCCTAACTACTTACAGACTGCAGAGTTTTATAGGGGAGGGAAAGTGTGTTACTGGAAAGGTATATTGGAGGGGCTGTGTATTGATGGGTGAAGGGAAGAGGGTTGGGGTCTAGCCTGAAGCAGGTTTGTTAGAGATTTAACTAGCTTGAGGTTAGGCTATGTGTTGCTTGTGGTCAGACTAAGTGTTACGCTAGCAGGGTCAAAGCTGGGGTCGGGGAGTATCATGTATAATGGGGTGTTTTTGCTGCTTGTAGCTAATACTAAGCAAAATACTGGTCAGGGAACTCAGGATGGAAGCACCAAGGCCAACTGACCCTAACTTCCATGTACCCTATGTTCATCCTAAGATCTGTAGTCCTGCATTTGCTAACATGAGGACATCTTTTTGTTTATGGCATGACATAGAATTATAACTAAGTTCTTTTGTGTGTGTGTGTGCTGGTCCTAGGGCTTGAAAAGTTCATTTAAAAATTTATATTGCAGAAGTGGCAGCAGTTATAAACAAGACCTTTATGCTATCAGGAGAGTAGATTTTCCCCATAAGGAATTCCAGTGCCTGTGATCATTTGTTGTTTGTGCAAAATTAGTAACTCACAATTTATGTTTATGTATGGAATTAGGGGGATGTTCATAGAGTAGAGTACTTTTGAAAAATTGGGGTAGTTTAGTTGCTCTAGGGCTATTATTTTGTAGATCTCAAGAATGACCTTGTTATCGAAGTTCTAATTTGCCTTGTTACCTTGTTCTCTCTCTCTCTCTCTTTTAGGGAATATCTTGGTAAACAACTCCAGTCAGAGCAGCCTCAGACTGCTGCCGCCCGAAGCTAAGCTGGCCTCTTTGACCTTCCTCTGTGCCTCTCTGGCGGACCACTTGGGTTGGGAACCTCAGTACTTAAGGTCAAGAATATGTAGTTTTAAAATTTGCTAGTAATTTTTTCTTCTTTTGTGTAGCTTTTTCCAGTGCTAATTTAAAAAAAAAAGTGGTGTTTGCCTGTGATGATGTAACTTTCTGTGTCTAAGGAAAGCATTAGTGTTACATATATTGCTTGCAATTTCTGTATTTATTGTTCTATAGAAATAAATAGAATTATTAAAGGATTCTTACTCCCAATGTGCCATTTCTCTTTACTAGTTCCTTACTTGGGTTTTGAACAGTGGTTACTTCTTGTCCCTTCTCAAGCCAAATTGAGAAACTAGATGCAAAATAGTGATATGGAATCTTTGGGTGTTCTCGGTGGGCAGAGCCCACACAGCCTTTCTGACATCACAGCCCTCTGGATCCACAGCTGGCTGAGACCATTAGGGCTCAGCCTTGTAGCAGGTAGCACCTGCTTAGTGTTACAGCTCAACTGCAGATAATGCCTGCCAGTATTGCTGTTCAACAGTATGTCATGTCTACCAATGTTTGCTGGCTTCTCCCTGCCACTGCTACTGTGTGGGGTTCTTGTCTCAGGAATTGAAGTAATGAAGTGGAGGACAGTGGAGGGTGAGTGTGAAGAACTTTATTCAGAAGTGAAGTATCTTGCTCAAGGTCTGTTGCTGCTCTGTCTGTTTTTGTAGCTCTCAGTGACTTTGAGATATTTTATTTCCTGCTTTGTACTTTCATTGATTTCCCTTATTATAATTGGGTGCTTTGGAAGGTAATACTTCACTGGTCATGAACTACAACATTCTGATTTGTTGTTAATTCCTAATTAGACTTTTTCTTCAGACTCTTTCCCCAGGGTCATAGGAAAGCTGTGGGAACAGAAGGGGTTAGGAAGAGTCAGAAGCAAGATATTCTGAAAGAATGTCTCTTTTGCTTCTGATTTTGCCTCTTTTGCTAGGCCAAGATGCTGTCCCTGAATGAAGTCTGGGTCCTAACTAATCTACCGTCTCAGAAGTGAATGGCAAATAAATATTTTGAAGTTGTTTTTTACCATTTTCTGATCAGCATACACACACACACATACACGTATACACACTAGAGCTATCGCTTCAAGTGAGTAAAACAGTGTTGTATTGCTTAATAATGGGATTATATCTTGAGAAGAGCACCCTTAGTATGCCATTGTATGAATATCATAAAGTGAACTACACAGACCTTGGTGGCCTAGTTGCTTAACTTAGCATCTTGAACTCAAGAAATATAGTAACATGAGATGGGTAAGTCTGTTGTTGGTATAACATAGCACATTGTTTTTCAGTAATTTTTTCCTTTTCTTCTTTTTGTGCCATACCAGGACTTGAACACAGGGACTCTTGATCATCTTGCTGGCTGACAGTTGGATTCTAACATTTGAGTCATGCCCCCAGTCTGGCATTTTGCCAGACTATTTGGAAATGATTCAAACCTCTCTCCTGGATCTTAGCCTTCTGAGTAGCTAGGATTGCAAGTGTGAGCCACTGGTACCTAGTTTTTTGTTTTTTGTTTTTGTTTGGCTTATATCAGTTACATGAGGGTAAAGAGCTTTTTATTGTTTCATCTTTATACATGTTTACGCTGTAAACAATTTCACCCCATGTATCATACTCCCTGCACCCATCTCTTGAAATTTCTTTTTAATTAGTAGGACTACACTCAAATACATTGTTAAAAGTATCAACAATGTCCAGGCAATGGTGGCTTACTAGTGAGGAGACCAGCCCAGGCAGGAAAGTCCACAAGACTTTTATCTCCAATTAACCACGAAAAAGCCAGAATTAGAGTTGTGGCTTACGTGGTCGAACAGTAGCCTTGAGCACAGAAGCCCAGGGATAGTGCCCAGACTCTTGAGTTCAAACATCAGGATCGGCAAACCCACCCTCCCCCCCCCCAAAAAAAAAAAGTGTGTTTGAAGGGCCTTATTTAAAACAGACAGACAAAACTTGGATATAGCTGCTTCTTCCCTCACTAGCCAAGATGCTTGCTTCTAGATAAGCTCCTGCCCAGCAGCAACTGGTTTTCAAGTACTCACTCCATCATGAGATGGAGCCTTTACACTTCAGGTCAGTTCTCCTGACCCCACTCATACCTTCAAGTTACTTGCTTCTCTTTTCATACAGTATAATTTCTTTTTATGGTCAGACTTTTTTTTTCCCATCCATTGGCCATTAAAAATCCATGCTTCATAGTTGAATTTGAATCTGTTTTCCTTTTTTTTTTTGTAACTCACACACCTAAAAATGTCCCTGTTTTTGCAACCCAGTATAGTCAGTGCCTTTCCAGATTCTTAGACATTACCCATTTCTGTGATATTCATCCATTTTGTATGCTTCATCCTTTAGGAGATAATTCTCTCCCTCCCCCCATTCTTTGAAAGATTCATCTCTGTCTCATGGACATTCTCTATATGTCAGAAATAACTTTAAAAGTTGAAGTATCTTGGGGAAAACATAGAGTTGAATTTAGATATTGTTTCATTGGAATTCTTGTTGAAGGCATAATCTTTTCTATGAAGTTTAATAGGAAACCCATTTCTAAAATGTCATCATTAATCATATATAATAAAATTACTCCTGAGCAGGCATGCACAGTAATATTACAAAAGGAAAAAAATTCTGGCTGTCAGCATGTGAGAGGCACACGTGCACATAAAAGGGAAAATGGAATCTTCCTTTCTTACAAAACTTCTCCTTTGGGTTTTATTGACCTTAATATTTTAAAAGACATATGCAGGTAGCCTTCCCATTGGTGGTGAAGTTCATTTCCATGCACTGTACCTGGCCAGCTGTAAATACTGCATCACTTTCTTTTCTATTGAACCACATCTGAGTACTTCGTGTTAATTGTCTTGTAATTAAAATTTAAGTAATCTTGTAATTAGCTGCCAAATCTTGGAAAGCACAGGGCAGCCAAGATTGAATGCTTTTTGATCTATTTGAAAATTACTTAAAAGGTTCTATGTTCTTTGATAATAGAGAATATTTTAGGCTAAATTTTGGAATCATTCAAAGTTAGTGGGTGGCAAAGTTACTTTTCACATTGAAACCTTGTGATGAAGTCTCTTTGTAGTTTGAAAATTTTCTCATTTTGCTAAAGGAAAAAAAAGTTTGTTCTAGTTAAAAAATGTGGTTTTAACTTCCTAAACAAATTTCCAGTGTCAAAGAAAAAGTGTGGCATAATTTTTAGTCTCTCAACATCAAGTTCACATTCTCTTTTAGTATGTAAAGAGGAAGTATTTATTACTCTACCCAAAAGAGAAAAGGATAAAGATAGAACAAACCCTTCTATGATTTAAAGCGGTACTGGCCAAGGTGCTGTTCCTTCTAGCCTTGGACCTTTTCCCTCTCAGAAGAAAGAAAATGTCGTGACTTGGGTGAAGGAACCAATGTTAGAAAGCACATTGAATAGTAATGTTTATAATGTAGGTAGAATGTAAATGTTTGGAACATGCAAGGAGGGCATAAGATTCTTTTAAGGTTCTCACATTAGATACACAGTATTATAGCATGAATATAAAATAAACTACATATTTAATTCCTGGAATAATCCCTGACACATTAAACTGAACAAAAGGTCGAAATAGAATGAATAGTAAAACTACTTGCTTTATCCAAGAGAGAGCAGAAGAGGATCAGAAGAAAGGGACACACAGGAAATAACAAGAACACAGACATTAACACAACAATAACAACCATAATACTAGCACTTTTTACTGTTGAGGGAAAGCTTCTCAAAGTTTGCTACCTGGGCTAGCCTAAAACTACAATCCTCCTGACATAACATTCTATGCAGCTGGGATGTCAGATGTGTACCACCACACTAAGCTTTTGGTTGAGAAAAGTCCTTGTGTATATCCCTCAACTGGCCTCAGGGTACTGCTCTCAGTACACTATTGACCCATGTGGCCCAGCTTGTTTATTCTTTTAAAAATCCCTTCTAGCCTTTCAACTGAGGAAGCAGTTCTTTATGTTTCAACTGAAGGCGGAAAGGTGTTATTTTTAATCAATTTTGACATGTGAAGTCAGGTTAAGAAAAATGAGATTAAATTTGGGGACAGTGGGTAGATCAGAGTTGAGAGGTTTTTAGTTCATCTATTTGAGCATCTGGATTGAGAGAATTCAGTGAAGTCTTGTGACCATTATGTGAGGTTTATGCCATTTTTACTGTATGGAGCTTGGCAGATACTTCTTCTGCCTGTACATGATTTGTACCCATGGCAGAGACTGTTACTGCAAATACCTCTGATCTGGTAAAGAAATTCCTTGCTTAGACCTAGCATCTGTTTCTTCTCCTTTTTAATATCACGACCAAAATTTACCTTTGAAATAATATGGATCAAGTCTCATCCTTGATATTCAACTTCCTTTTGTATTTGAAGTCAATGATTATTTAACGTTGCCATTTTGACATGTTTTGGTTCTAGATCCCATTTTGACATCTAAACATTAAACTGTGTTGGGCTGGGAATGTGGCTTAGTGGTAGAGTGCTTGCCTAGCATGCACGAAGCCCTCTGTTCAATTCCTCAGTACCACATAAATAGAAAAAGCTGGAGGTGGCACTATGGTTCAAGTGGTAGAGTGTTAGCCTTGAGAAAAAGAAACTCAGGGACAGTGCCCAGGCTCTGAGTTCAAGCCCCAGGACTGGCAAAAAAAAGAAAAAAATCAAACTGTGGTTGTGTGATCAAACAGTGGCTTTGATGTCCCTGCCAAACTGGAGAAAAGATTGCATAAGAGAAGTTTGGAGCAGGCACAAAACTGGTTTACATACAAGGCATATTTTGTATGTTCCCTGTGACTCTGAGGACCAGTTGTTTGTCACTTGGAAGGCATGGCCTTGTCTAGACTTTGTGCAGAGATGTTGTATTGGTTGCTGTTTGACCTCTGTACCAACTCTATCAGAGCCTGACCCACATGCAGCAAATAGGAGATACTGACCACTGCTCAAGGACATGGCCTGACTCAGGCTTCTCTTTTGAGGCATCCGTATACAAGACTTACATGAAAGCAGCAGGCAATGAGATTAATACAAACAGAAGAGTCCTTAAGAGGAAAAGGCAAAACAAAATCATAGGCAAAAGTCATGAGGCAGAAAGTAAAGGGTAGCAGGGAGCTAGATGACATAATGGGAACAGCAGAGAGGAAGAGATATCATAAACTTAGTGGAAAACTCGTCAGTCCCTAAAAACTAGAGTGAC